ATTTTTTACCTTCGAAACCGACTGTCAGTTCCGGTAGGTTATAGCCGAAAAACCGAAACATTTGTCAAACACACAATGAAAAATTATTTCAAACACACTGTACAAAAATTTACATAAAATATTTCAAACACACTGTACAAAAATTTACACAAAATCTTTGACTGAGGAAGGCTGCTCTCCAAAAAGTGTTTTATCAACTAAAGCATAGAAAATCTGATAAAATGGCAAAGAAGATATGTAGGTGAAAGCTTTCGGCTTTCCAAATCCTTCTAGAAGTAAAACTATAAAATGTTTATAATTGCAGTTTTAACGAGGCTTCAAATAATAAACTAATATATAAGTATATCACCACAAATCTATGAATTACATTAAAAAATTATAATCAATCAATAAACAGTTAACCACAAAACTAGGATCATACTTCTTAACACAAAATCCAACAGTTATGAAGTTATGAATATTATAGCAATTCACAAACAAGGTAACATACTAACATCTAAGTATCTATCATTGAATATTTGAATATTATATAACAATAAGAACGAAAAGCTTCATGGTAGCCGTAGGTCAGAACCCGCAGCTGTCACCACAGGCCGCAACCCTCAGCAGCCACCGCAGGCCGCAGCAACAGCCGCACGTCGTAGCCCGAAGCAGCTGCTGCAAGCCGCAGTCCGCAATAACCACCGCCGGGTAGCGACCTACGTACCTACACTGTCTGGGCGTCTGACTATCTACCAAACTACTCGCTAACTATAATAAGAGTAGAAGACATACCTATCATTAACTCACTGCTGCTGCGTCGCCAATCGCCACTGCTGGTCGCCGCCTGCCGCCCGTCGCCAGTCAAACGCTCGGAGAGTCAGAGTTTCGCCCGTCGTCAATTGAACGCAGTAGAAGTGGAGAACCAATTAAAATTGGGGATTTTGGGGTTTAGGGTTTGATAATCATATATATAATTGGGAATATATTGTAAATATAAAAGTGAAAATTTTAACTTTTGGTTTCACGAGTATAGATCAATTTTACATTTTGTTTGTGAATTATTAAAATTTTTAAATTTTGTTCAACAACTTTTAAATATCTATTATATTTGGTTATTTCAATCAAAATTTTATTCATTAATGATTTTTTTTCAATAAGTGAATTATTTTAAAAGGTAAAATTATTTTTTATTAAAAAATTCATTTTTATCCAAAACACTTTCTTCTTCTAACCCTCATTCCACTATGCCTTCCTTCTTCTCCTTTCCTTCTTAATTCACAGTTGAGTGTGCATATGACATAATCGTCGTGTGTGCATTAAATGTTACAAGTGTTTATTATCCTACATATGTGTGTAACTAAGGTGTCACACATTTTTCATGGTTGTTTACTTCAATGAATGTCACAAATACGTTTTAGTATACTTTGAAATTTACCGTTTGCATGGAATGAATTTCCTGCAAACGAATTTCCTAATCGTCGATAAAACTAAGACATTTTATGATACGCTGACATTTCCCAAGCCTCCCATGCTCCAAAAAGGAACCCAAAGTAGAAACGTATTAACACATCGTTTTGCACACGCCTAACAGATCAAATGCACACGTTGTAAGCAGCAAAATCAAAAAAAAAAAAGTGATAAATTTACATCGGTCTCTCTACATTGGGCCAGGAAGAAAGTGATAAATCAATGGTCGTTAAGGGTAAGTTGGCAAGGTATGGGGCTTTATTAGGGATGGCAATTTCAATCCGACCCGTGGATATTCACCCGAATCCACCCCGCATGGATCGGGTTTTTTTAGGTGATGGTGGGTGGTGGGTCGGGGGTGGGTCTTAAAAAAGAAAACCCGCGGTGGGTCGGGTTGGATTCGGGTTCTATGTACAAGACCCGCCTAGAACCCCACCCGACCCACCATGTGTGTGTGTATATATATATATAATAGTAAAATAAATACTAGTATGTAGTTATTTATAATAGTTTATATAACTCCGTGTATCTTTTTACTATTTTTTATATCAAAACTACTAAGTTTATTTTTAAAAATTAACAATTTAGTTATTATATTTAAATATTTTCATTATTTATGTTTTAGTATCACTAATGGATTTTATTTTTTTATTATGTGTAAATAATTTAAATATTATTTTTTGAAAAACATAATAAGATGATAAGTGGTGGGTACCCGTAGTGGGCACTCGCACCTGGTGGGGGTGGGGGTGGGTTCTGAAAAAGTCCACCCGATGCGGGTTGGAGGTGGGGGTGGGTGGAGAAAATATAAGGTGGGTCGGGTGATGGATGTAGCCCTCCCCGACCCACACCCGACCCATTGCCATCCCTAGGCTTTATGGGCTTTCAAGAACTCAGCAGCCAAAGGATTGTTAGATATGTTAGCCACAGAGGAGCCAACATTTATTATTTTGGGCATTAATTTCTTATTAAATAAATATTTTTATTTATTTTATTTTGGCGTAAATGATATTTGATATTATTCCGTACCATCTTCTTAATTCTTCATTCTTAAGAGTTAAGAATATGAGTGATAAAGTATTAATAAATGAAGTATTCTAAAAATGTTCCTAGTCATAGGAATTCTAATTGGGAATTGGAATTCCGATAAGGCTAGCACATTGTCCTTCTTATGGTGAGTCCCATGTCATTCCATATGAGATACAGAGAGTGTACATGTGGATGATTGTTAGAAAACAAGTCATTGAAAAATGACTAACTACAAATCTACAACGTACTGCATGGTGGTTACCTACATGCCATTGGTATGATATATGTTACAAGCATGCAATAGCCCTTTGACTTGAGACAACATGGTTGTCTCATACATATGGTGGAGTAGTTTTTGCCAGTATGCGTCTTTTGTTCCTTATGGGATTATAAGTGTACTTGGTGGCCTAGTTCAGTATTGCAAGGAGACATGTCTGCATTCAATAGATGATTCACAACCTTGAGGTAACAAGGTTGTTCTAGTCTATTCAATAATCTTATAACAAGAATCTCTTGCCAGAGTATAATGAAGTTGGACTTCAGAATAATAATATTGAATAGACATATTAAACCATGTTTATGGGTTTGACCATGACCTTTGCCTAGTTCAGAACAAGTGTTGTGTGGAAAGAATGTTGCATGATATTTGTAACGGAAAGGTTCATTATAAAATACATACATGTATTTCATTGTCAACTAGGTAGTCATGATATACTGCTAGGCGTCACTCATGACTTACGAGTTATCTAATAATGAGTTATTAAATATTACTTGTTGCTAGTTTGACTACGAACCTATAAAGTCACACCCTAATGGTTCATGGTAATGTTGAGAACTTTAAAAGAAATCGATAAGGAGTTATCGATATTGAATTAATATATTAATAAATGATTAATGAATTAATTCAAATATTGGGTAGTCTTGGATTTTTAAAGGCCAACACTTTTGGGCCCAAACCATGCTATATAAATAGTCTTACCCTTTTTCTTAAAGAGACTAAGAGAGGGATTTTGGGTAGTCTTGGATTTTAAGGAAAATTATTTTTCACGTAAAATCTCTAGGAATTCTCCTGTGCTCGATTGGTGGACAGACTAGAGGCCGGACAATTGGACGGTTCAAGTTGTTGATTCTGTCAGAACATGCTTCAAAGGAAAGAACATTCAAACTTTCTCCTTAAACGTATAATCTAGAAAAAACGTTTGATGTTTCCACTGTGCTTGTATGATTTTTATATCAAGGATGCATGGGAAACTGGAGGCCAGCATGTATGGAATGGTAGTGCACGGCCACAACTAGGGGATGTGGAGGGTCAACCATAGTATCATTCTCATGGGCGACAATTATGTTAACCCTTTCCCCAAGCTATTCATCTAGAGATACTAGTTCTTGTTTTGTTGTTTTGGATCGGATGTTACGTGCTATGGAGCGATCTAAGGTGCGAGTGGAGCCAAATGGGGCTACCGAGCATGTTAGTGACGAAGGAGAATTTGAGGGTTGTTCAGTGGGGATGAAGTTAAATAAAGGGGAGGCATTCGACAAACCCGTAGAATGAGAGTTACAGACAACGGGCCCGTGAAGGCAATATCTAACCCTTCAACAGAGTAATTCTCTAAGGGCTCGAAGATGAGCTGGTGATAAGTGCCAAAAGATGCTTAATTCTTCGAAGATTCCCGAGGCAGAGGTCACATTGCTGCCCAAGAAGGACGAAGCGGCAGTGGCAGTGGTGGATGCAAAGGAAGGAAATCCTGATGTGTGAACGGTGGCCCTGAACTCCTGAAGAGGTGTCGTGGTTGTGAGGGACGACCAAATGAACTAAAACCCATGCATGGAGGGAAGACATCAATAAAAATGAGACATGACTAATGTTTTGTTAGTAATGAGACGAAGAATGAGCATGACCAACAATTAGGGACGAATAAAACTATTATTGTATAATTTAGAGACGAAATGTACAAATTTCTTTTATTTTGAATATAAAATAGTTAAAATATTTCAAAACGAGTTTGTTGAATTTCTTATATAAAAATATGTTTAAAACACCCAAAAAAAAATTACTCAATTAAATTTTCACACATCATAGTCGTAGATTCAAAATCTTGCCTTCTTAAATTTAATTTGTATTTAAAAAAAAGAAAATTTCGGTGGTTGTCACTTGTGGTTTATCTTCTTTTTTTTTTTTTTTTAATCACAGTCCCACACATCCAACATGGCAAAATCCATAGAGCTGACCAGTGACCACTACAAAATCTATAACGTCCGCCACATCTACTATGTATCATTGGTAAATTGGCCCCACCAAAAATCCATAAGAGTTCCTTTTTCATTTTCATTTTCATTTTCAGAATCGAATCTATAAAGCACTCTCTAAACTTTAAAGCACACCAATAAATATAACATCTCCTCTGTCTCTATCAAAAGTACACCACTCTTCCCTGAGGTATAAATATGCACTAGCACCCCTGTATACTTCCCAACACATTATTTTCTTTCTCGCTCATATTATATTGATAGGATCCCTGAAAATGAAACGCTTTTATTCGATTAGCGAAAGCTTTCTGCAGGAATTACTGCTATCGGCTGCCTTAAAATGCCAAAAATGGTTAAACCACCAAGTTCCCACACCACATTGCGCACCCAAGTATAGCGTGTTCTTGAATTTCAGAGGAAGAGACACTCGCCATAACTTTGTTCATTCTTTATACGAGACTCTATGTTCTACCGGGATAACAGCGTTCCAGGATGACAAGAGTGTGAAGAAAGGGGACCCGATTGGGCGGGAGCTATTTCGTGCCATTGACGAGTGCCGGATTGCCATTGTAATCCTCTCCAAAAACTATGCGGCTTCGGAATGGTGTTTAGAAGAGCTTGTGAAGATCATGAAACGCAAGAAACGGCTAACCATTTTCCCAGTCTTTTATGATGTCCGCCCTTCAGAGGTCCGGAACTTAAGAGGGAGCTTCGCTAGAGCCTTTGCTGAACATGAGAGAAACTATGAGAGTAAACCCAGAAAGGTGGAGAAGTGGAAAAAAGCCCTTTGTAAAGCAGCAGGGATATCAGGATTTGACCTACGCAATTACAACGGGTAATCATAATAAGCTTTTTACTATATTCTTAGTTGTTATCATAATAAGTTTTTTCGCTATTGATTAGACTCTGATATAAACTTTGGTTATAATGCAGAGATGAGTCGAAATGCATCCAGGATATAGTGGAAGAAGTGTGCAAAAAACTGGGAGCTACAGGGAGGGAGAAATATGAGGGAAGAAAAACAGTAGGGAAATGCAAGCAAAAACCAAAACTTAGAAAACAAAAAAGGGTAAAATCTCAAACCAGACCACATTGGCGGCCTAACAAATTGGGCAGGACAATGGTTGCCCGCCCGGAGGAGACGCCGGGTAGAACAGCAGCACAAATGGGCCGGACAGCGGTTTACCCACACACCACAATTTCGAGTATGTATTCTTGTGACAAAAAGGTAAAATCGCCAACTCCAGGCGCTTTCACACCCCAACCCGACAGTTTGTGGAGTTCTGTTGGAACGAAATCGGGTTGGAATTGGATAGGGATAGGGGTGGGGTTGAGTCTAACTATCCACACCACAGTTTCAAGAGTGGTAGTGTATATGCATTTTGTGCTATGCCAACAAACCAGAGCAAAAGGAAAAGGAAAGGTTAAGGTGGTGGTTAGGCTATACTTATTGGCATTTTGTTCTATGTCAACAAGAAAGCAACTTGTGCGCTTTGGAGAGTTGGGAAATTTTGCAATTTTAAAGAGAGTGTTTGTGTATTTTGTTCCATGCCAACAAATTACAACCAAGGCCATACCACACTTCCAAATTGAACCGGCCCAGACAACAACGACTTCAGGGTGGGTACTGAAAGTACATTATTTGTGTACTGAATATACGTTATTTGATAGTATGGTCCATACTGTGTTGACCAGAATAATTGCTTCTCTTCCTTACTACCCACATCAAAGCCTTCAAACCATAGAACCATATATAAGGGAAAGAAAAGGCTCTTATTCTCTGGACGTGGGATAAGGAATTAGGAATAAACACAACAATTAGCCTTGATAATTGGTCTTGATGATGTTTTGCTGTGATGTTGTTGGAAGTTTTGAAGAGGGATTACATTCCACGGAGGGCAGATCGAGTTAGATGAAATGCTGCCTGCACCTTAGGTGTTTGTCATAATGCTCCTACGATAGATCAAACCTGCGGCTATGCTTTGGCTTTCACAATACAGCCAAAGAGTGCTAGCTTTCAGGCTTCTAGTGTTCTTTCATTCTTTAATTTGGACTGTACATTTCTTTGTTAATATTTTCCATCGTTTCAAGTTTAAAAAAAAAAAAAAAAAAAAAAACTTGTCTCTATTTTAGATTTTCATATATGTGAAGCTTTTTGTTGGGATATAAACAATAACACGGCGTTTGGTTGGAGGGATTTTAAATTCCCTTCCCACTTAATTCCCACCTAATTCCAAAGGCCATTAAATTCCATAGTTTGGTTGGAGAGAATTGCAATTCCATGGAATTGCAATTCCCCCATTTTCATGGAATTAAAATCTCATGTCCCCCCTGGTATTTTAATTTCTGAGAAAAAAAGATAGTGATGAGTCAAAATTATCCCTTCCTTTTTAAACCTAAAATTAATGTCTAACAACAATAATGGACATTTTTGACTTTATACTACTTATTCCCTTTCAATTCCCATGTATACCAAACATTGGAATTGAAATTCCCAGTAATTCTATTCCTGTCAACCAAACACTGGAATTTAAATTTCCACTTTATTCCCAGTAATTCAACTCCCATGGAATTACAATTCCTTTCCCACATAATTCCCCTCTCCAACCAAACGCCCTGTAAGAGTAATAAACAAAAAATCACTTTTGTTATGGAATCGATGTCACATATCTTCGGGTGAACATATAACAATAAACAGTAAAGTAGAAAAATGTAAAGAAATACAGAGAAAATCATTAATCTTTCATCAAGTACATTTTTTTTTGAATACTACTGGTTCTATTACATTGTAGTATGTATATTCGTATACTTTCTCAACCTACTGAAACACAAAGAACCAATAACGCCTCCACTGAGGCTCGAACTTATAATCTTCTGAATAGAAGTCCAATCCGGATACCATTAGACCACATAGTCCTGGTCATCCATCAAGTACATAATTTCAGTATAATAACAATACCTATAGACTAAAGTAATGTCCACTTCACATATATTTATTGTTGATTACGACGTTATATGTAACAAAGGTATAAGGGAATTATTTTTAAAAATTGTAATTTTACTCAATGCATTGCTTATTTAAAGAGAATACTTTAGAAGAAAAATGATCAAATATACTGGAGAAGCAAAATACCGAATGCTTTTATTGCCTTGTGAGTTACTTTCATTTAAACGTATGATTTAATTGGTAGATGAGAACTGATAGAATTGTATTGAATGAATGTAATTATAAATATACATATTACATGTATATATATATATATATATATATATATATATATATATAAGAGAGAGTCTTAGGAAGATTAGGATAGAAAATCATGATCTAACTTAAATACATAGAGTCCTAATACTCCCTCAAGCGCATGTACACTAGTGACCTGTAGTTTGTCTCTAAGAAAAGAAAATCAGGTAGGACCTTGGTAAAAATATCATCAGGTTGATCTTTGGTTGAGAACTTGAGATAAAATTTACTTGTATATCTCCATTTGTAACTCTGTATCTAACAAAATGATAATCAATCTCCACATGTTTAGTACGAGCATGAAATATAGGATTTGCACACATGTATCTAGCACCAAGATTATCAGCACAGACACACCAGTCACGCTAATCTCATGCAGCAGGGATAGGATCCATATTACTTCAGCACAGACATATGCTAGAGCTTTATATTCAGCCTTAGTAAAAGATCTAGCAACAGTTCTTTGTTTCTTTCACACCCAAGACATAAGATTGAGTCGAAGAAATACAACATAACCACTAGTTGACTTACGGTTCTCAGGACAACCAATCCAATTAGAATTAAAAAAAAGCATGCAACTCTGTAGACACTGACTTCTTTATACGCAAACCATAAGCGACAATTCCCTTGACATACCTCAATACACGTTTTAATTTCTCCTAATGAGCGACTGTAGGAGCATGTATATGTTGACAGAGCTGATTGACTACAAAGGATAGATCCAGGCGTGTGACAATGAGATACTATAAAGCCCCAACCAAGCTCTTATACTGTGTAGCATTATCATATAAATCTGCATTGAAGGTAGTAGATTTCGAAACAGATATAGGAGTAGCTAAGGATTTACAGTCTGTCATACCAGCACATTTCAAAATATCTATCATGTATCCCTTTGGGAAAGTAAAATTCCATCACCACACTTAACAGTTTCAATTCCAAGAAAAAAAAAAAAAAAACCAGGTTCACCCAAATCCCTAATCTTGAAAGCAGTTGACAATTTTGTCAGTAGTGTACTTACTAGATTATGATCACTTCCCATCACAAAGATATCATCAACATATACCAAACATATACAAATGCAGAATCTTGCGAGTAGTAGAATAAAAATACATTTGTTTTCGAAGTTTTAAACCCAACTGACGTTAGAAATGTGTGCAGACAATTAAACCAAGCTCTAGGAGTCTGTTTTAATCCATATAAAGAACGTTTCAGTAGGCAAACATGATTAGGGAACTGGGTATCAATATAACCAGGTGGTTATTTCATATAAACAGTTTTACATAGTTTCCCATTCAAAAAGTCATCGTGCACATTAAGCTACCTAATAACCCAACCAGAGGATATAACTAAAGATAGAAGTAACCTGATAGTTGTGGGTTTAACCACCGGGCTGACTGTGTCAAAAAAGTCCTATCCAGGTACTTGATTGAATCATTTAGCTACTAACCTCGCTTTGTGTTTTTCAATTGAACCATCTACTTTCCTTTTCGTGCGGAAGACCCATTTACACGCAATATTGCAATAATATTCATATCTGACTGTGATGGAACAAGACACCGAGTCTCATTCTGAAGTAGAGCATTGAACTCTTGATCCATTGCCTTGCGCCACTCAGGATATTTGACTGCCTGTGTGTAACAAGTGGGTTCAATGTGACAAACCTGAGCAGTCAGAACCATAGGTGGAGCTTGTGACTGTCTCCGAGTAGCCATAGTATGGGAGCGGACTGTCGGTCTGGTGGAGCGCCCTCTCGGCCGGCCTCGGGGACGGGCAATGGCTGCTGCTTATGTGGGTTCAATCTATTTTGCCTGGACCGGTTCGGGCAGTGCAATTTGAATTGGAGCGATGGGCGCAGTTGGAACTAGAACAGATTCAGCCCACGGTTGATCCTTTGGAACCGGCGGTGCATGCAAAACATTTTTAGCATTGAAAGGAAAGACCCACTCATCAAATTGGACATGCTTGCATACATTGGTCTTGTTAATCTGTATGTCCATGCATCTATACCCCCTAAATGACTCAGGATAGCCTAGGAAACACAAGGAGAGGATCTATAAGATATTTTGTGACGATTATATGGGCGTAAGTATGGATAGCATAGACAACCAAAGACACGAAGAAAGGAGTATGACGGAGGAGATTTATGCAACATGAAATGGGGATTGGAGTTATTTAACACAGTGGATGTCATTCTGTTAATTAAATAAACAACAATATCACTACTAAAAATTCGGCCATTTCCGATGAACATAACCAACAACTTGAGAGAGGCATTCAACAAGACTTTGAATGCAAGGTCAAAGAATATAATCCCAATGCTTGAGGACATAACTCGATTCCCCATGAAAACAATTTTTTCATTTGGATTTATGGTTTGGGTTGAAAGGAATCCTTACATAGTATTCAAAACATGAGTGATAGAACCTGAATCAATCTACCAAGTATTATAAAGGACTTCAGTTAAATTTGATTAAAAACAAACAGAAACATGATATATATACCTTTCCTTTCGAACCATGCCTTACGTTTATGGCAATCTTTTTAAAAGTATCCAAATTTCTTGCGGAAATGACACTTATTATTTTTGTGTTCCTTTTTGTGAATTTGAGAAGATGATTTATTAACCTTCATTTGTCATTTCTTACCTTTATGATTCTTCTTTTCAGATTTTTTTTTTTTTTTCCACCCATTGATTGATCCCATGAAATTAATTGAATATAATGAATCCCTTGTTTCTTAATTGATATATACCTTTCTTAAGCCTTGTTTCCTCTTTCCGAGTCGTTATATCGCACCGCGGTAAAAAACGGCGTCGTTTCTTTAAGTAAAGAAACGGTCTGCCGTTATAGTTAACGGAGTCCGCTTGCTTGGTGTATTAAACACCAACTGACACTACAGTATATCTAAACCGAAACTGCAGTTATATCAAAATGATACTGTAGTTATAGTGAAATGAAACTGCAGTGTATATAAAATGAAACTGAATAACATTTCACATATTTGAGTGTATATTGTACAATGAAGCTGTAATTATATCAAAATGATCATGTAGTTGTGTTTCAATGAAAGTATAGTGTATATAAAATAAAAGTAAATAACATTTTCACATATTTGAGTCTATAAATATCGAATGAAACTATAGTTATATCGAAATGAAACTGTAGTTGTGTTGAACTGAAACTGCAGTGTGTACAAAATGACACTGAAGAACAAGGTTACTTTTTGCAAAAGGGTGCGAAACGACGGAAAACAAACACTGTTTATTTTCATTTTTAAAAAAAAAACGCGCGGTATATGATTGATCATGCACCGTGGTGCATGATATAATTTGCCCCTTTTTCCAGCCTTTTTTTTTTTTCCTCATTGAACATCTATCCTCTAACTGCACACCCAACATCATTTCACTACTAATAGGGAGTTTGGTTAAGGATTACAATTCCATTCCCACCTACCTAATTCCCACATAATTTTGAAAGTAAATAAATTTATGGATGGTTAACTTGGATCACGAATAATAATAATAATTTGAAAGGTTGAGGGACCATGGATGGTTAATTTAAAAGTTTAGAACTAAAAGTGACAAAGTCGTTATACTCGGAGGACCCATATGGCATTAACTCTTAATATTAGTAAGTATGGACATTTTGGACTTTATATTACTTATTTCCTTTCGATTTTCATGTATATCAAACATTGAAATTAAAATTCTCAGTAATTTTATTCCAACAAACCAAATATTAAAATTTAAATTATCAATTTGTTTTGAAAATCATTTAAATTACCACTTTAATCCTACATTATTTCTCTCTATGAAATTGCAATTCTTTTTTCCACCTAATTCATTCTCTCCAACCAAAAGCCCCACATAAAAGTCTACTACAGATTATGGGCACACCCAACCACTAAAAATCTACTACAATTACACTGCCAACCACTGCTGAAATCTTTAATCCACAACAGATTCCACATCTGAGACCATACTGCAGAATTCTTGAATCCACATCCAATAGATCGGATCACACCCCAACGTAACGTCCGACCAACGCCAACTGCAATTTCGTTCTTCTCATCACATTTATATCAAAAGGATTATACTATTGTGCCCATTTCATATTCATATATTTATATATAGGTCTATTTGGTAAAATAGTTAGTCTATCAGTCAATTTTGATTTGTTTGACCACTATTAGCTGTTTGACTTGGTTAAACAATCAATGTGAGTGTTTGATTAATTAACTTTTTGTAACGGATTGCTCCAAACACTAAAGTTTAAAAAACTTATCAAAACAATTTTTTCGATCAGCTATTTACAAAAGTCATTTTGTATGTAATTAACTATCAGCTAACAACCAATTTACCAAACATCTTTCTACAATCAGCTAATGCTATCAACTAGTCAAATCCACTAACCCTAACAGTTAATTTACCAAACATCTTTATACAATCAGCTAATGTTATCAACTAGTCAAATCCACTAACCAAATCAATTAACAGCTATCAGCGGCTATTTCCCAAACACCCCGTATATATTCTTTTGCTCTACTCTATATAAATTGGCTCCACTACTCCTATAACAAGTACCACCTCCATCTAGCTTGTTTTCCAATATGTCATCATCAGCTTGTTTAAACAACATTTTAATGCGACGAAGGCATTGTGCATCAAAGTACTATAGCGTGTTCTTAAACTTTGGAGGAAAAGACACTCGTCACAATTTTGTTCGTCCTCTTCACAAGGCGTTGTGTTTAGAAGGGATTAATGCATTCAAAGATGACATTAATCTCAACAAAGGGAATTGGATTAGGAAAGAGCTGTTTGGGGCAATTGAAGCCTGTCGAATAGCCATCGTAGTTCTATCTAAAAACTATGCCACTTCTACATGGTGTTTAGATGAGCTTGCGAGAATCATGAAATATGAAAATAATCATAATAATCGAACCATTTTTCCGGTGTTTTATGATGTTTGCCCATCGGATGTCCGGCATTTGAGGGGTAGCTTTGCTCAAGCTTTTAATCAACATGAGGTGAACCACAGGATTGACCCCAAGAAGGTGAAGATATGGAAACGAGCTTTGAGAGGTGCGGCAGAGATATCAGGATTTGAGCTGCTCAATCATGTCTACAAAGGGTAATAAATTAATATTACAAACCCAAGTTTTTGATACTTTTTGTATTTGAGTTGGTTCCACTTTTGATCAATAACTTTAATTTGTTTCACTTTTAATCCAAAATATTTAAAATGTTTTCACTTTCTAAAGATCCCCTCAAACTTCACCAAATTGTGGCAAATTATACTTATGAACCATGGTCCACATTGCAATGTGGATCATTGATAGATGAATGTTCACCTAATGGATAGGCCGCTACTATCCTGTTGGGTCGGAGTGTGGAGACCTTAGTCCTTGGGGTGGGCAAATTATTGTGTGGACCATGGTCCACACAATGTTATGTGGACCATAACAAAAAGTATATTTTTAATATACTAAATGTATATTATTTTTGTATTAAATGTACATTATACAATATAACGTACTTTCAGAACAAAAATAATGTACATCCCCTGAATACAATGTACATTATTTTTGTATTGAGTGTACATTATTTTTGTACTAAATGTACATTATTTTATAGTAGACAAAATATGGTCCACACAACTTTTGTGGACCATGGTCCATACAATAATGATTGCTTGGGGTGATGGAATTTCGTCTTTATGTAGGTAAAGTTAAAATGTTAGTATAATTGAAAGATAAAAAATGAAATATGTTTTTATTTTGTATTTTATTGATTTTAATCTAAATATTTAAAATGTTTTCACTTTCTAATAAAGATCACCTCAAACTTCACCAACTGTGACAAATTATACTATGGACCATGATCCACATTGCAAAATTGATCATTGATAAATGTTTAGTCAATGATCTTGTGGTCTAGTGGCACCAAGTTGTTTTCCCATATGAAAGGTTGTGTGTTCAAGCCTCAGGAGGTGGTATTGGCTTTTTGTGCTCTAGTATTTGTACCGTGATTTACCCCTCCATTTGCTGTGGAACCGTGTCCACCTTGCAAGGTGAACACTGTTTCAAAACTGTCATAATTGTGAATATAGAGTTCAAAAATTATGAACATAGAGTCTGTAATTGTGAATATGAAGTTAAAAATTATGAACATAGAGTGAAGTAATTATGAATATAGAGTTCTGTAATTGTAAATATGAAGTTCAAAAATTATGAACATAGAATTTTATAATTATAAATATAGAGTTAAGTAATTATGAACATAGAACCGTGTCAACCTTGCAAGGTGGACACGATTCCACGGCATAATAATTGTCCATTCATGGCCCCCAGGGCGATGAAATTTCACCTTTATGTGGGTAAAATTAAAATGTCAGTATAATTGAAAGACAAAAAGTGAAATGTGATCTTTTGTATTTTATTCATTTTTCATTATTTTCTAAAAAGCAAAACATGAAATATATAAATAAGGAATAAGGGTCAAATAGGCCATCCAACTGCACACCAACATACAATTAGGCCACCCAACTCAAAAAAGTTACAATTAGGTCCTTGAACTACACAAATTCATGCAATTTCACCAAAAATGACTTGTTTACCTATTGATACTATACGCTGACGTGTCGGTTACCAAATTTAAAAATATTTTTTTAATTTTTATTTTAATAATTTTAAATGAAAATTTATTTTAAAATTAAAAAGAAGAAGAAGAAGAAGAAGAAGAAAAACAGCCGGAGACGAAGGAATCTTCGGCCAGCCATGGAGAACCCTCCGTCTCCATGGCTGGCCGGAGACGAAGGGATCGCCTTCGTCTCCTGGCTTGCCGGAGACGAAGGGAGCCCGTCGTCTCCTGGCTGTCCGGAGACGAAGGGGTCCCCTTCGTCTCCGTGGCTGGACGGAAACGAAGGGGTTGCGTCCAGCAACGGAGACGAAGGGGACCCCTTCGTCTCCGGCCAGCCAGGAGACGAAGGGCTCCCTTCGTCTCCGGCAAGCCAGGAGACGAAGGGGATCCCTTCGTTTAAGTTTTTTTTTTTTTTTTTTTAAAATAATTTATTATTTAAAATTATTAAAATAAAAATTTAAAAATTATTTTTAATTTTGTAACACACACAACAGGTAAACAAGTCATTTTTAGTGAAATTGTATGAATTTGTGTAGTTCAAGGATCTAATTGTAGTTTTTTTGAGTTGGGTGGCCTAATTGCATTTTGGTGTGTAGTTGAATGGCCTATTTGACCCTTATTCCTATAAATAATCTTTTCAATTTCAAGTACGTACTCATAATAAATAAAGGAGTTAATTCAATTATAAATCCATTGAATAAAGTGCTAACAATTACAAATTTAGTCTACCACTTTAAACTTTAACATGCATAATCTTCTATTTTCAAAACTTTTAATATAGAATATTTACCAGGACTATGTGGTCTAATGGTATCCGGGTTGGACTTCCATTTGGAAGATTATAAGTTCGAGCCTCAGTGGAGGCGTTATTGGTTCTTTGTGTTTCAGTAGGTTGAGAAAAATATATGAACAGATACTACAATGTAATAGAGCCAGCAGCATTCAAAAAAAAAAAAATATAGAATATTTGAAATGTCCACATATATATGTAGGAGGTCGAAATTTGGTAAAATATCTACAAAGTGAACACATTATATTATAAGAAACATAAAACTAAATATTTTCAAATTTGAAAGTCATAGACTTGGTATGCAATTGTCATTATATTCAAGATAAAAAGATGAGTGTTCGTGCAAGCAGCTCAGCTGATAATATATTCAGAAGGTAGTATAGATCCTCCTGATGAGATCATTAGCCTGATGGAGCGGGACGCAAGAGGTGTTGTCACGAGACGTATCTACTAATTTTTCTGGGACTTCGGTCCCTCTGTTGTGCCAAAACGAAAAGAAAAACTCTAAATGAAAAAGGCTCTCCATTTCTATAATAAAGGTGTAGAAAGAATCAATAGTACTTCAAGCTAGCTTGTAGCTCTATAGAAATGTTGTTTGATATGTAGCTTATACTTTTTATTTATTTATTTATTTGTAGGGATAGATCGGAATGCATCCAAGATATAGTTCAAGAAGTTAGGAGAAAACTAAAAGCTATAAAATGGGAAGAGCATAAAAGTGTTCCAAAAATTGAATATCATCAAGCCATATTAAAGTCATCACTGTTGAGAATGGGATCATCAGAAGATGATCTTTTGTTTATGAGGATTTGGGGTTCCAATAGAAATACCACCATTTTTATAAGAAAAAATTTCAACAAGTATTGTGATCACTTTGAATCCAAATTCGGCCAGCAAGCGAGTAATTCAAAGAAACAAGGAATGAACCGGGAGAAGAGATCAATGTTTGAAATTCGACAACGGCAGTGTGAGAATTATGTTCAAAGTGAACAGATCTCTTGTACGCACCAGTATTTAATAACCTTATCTGTTGAGTCATTGAATTACCGTGCAGATTTACATCCTTTCACTTGCTCTGTCGAGCCGGGGCGTGGGGGCCGTCCCTTGAGGTTGAGGATTCAACCTTTGGCAGAAGAAAAGAAACTAGGAATTGTGCGACTTCAAAGGAAGTTTTTGGAGAACATTAGCAAGAGACGGGATTCCATGAATATGATTCAAGGAATGAGAATGATAGAACCAAATTTTCGTTTCAAGAAGGTTCTTAACATCTTGATTCAAGGAATGAGAATGATAGAACCAAATTTTCGTTTCAAGAAGGTTCTTAACATCTTTGATGGTGTTAATAGTATAAACCAGTTAAATAGACGGAAGCAATGTGGACAATGATATCCAAGACAAGACGTTTTAAGGAAGGCCATAATGTAAATTTCGAAGAATCATGCTAGAAACTTTTATAATTGTCACTCCCTTTTAGTCATGTTATCTTTTTATTGGATACGCTTTGCTAATATAAATCTGAGCATCCTAACATGAAAATTGAACCATATATAGGTTGGAGTTTTTTTTGCTGTCTCAACCTACTGAAATACTGGCTCTATTACATTGTACGTAATATCTGTTCATATACTTTCTCAACCTACTGAAATACAAAGAACCAATAACGATAACGTCTCCACTGAGGCTCGAACTCATAATCTTTCAAATAGAAGTCCAACTCGGGTACCATTAGACCACATAGTCCTGGTATATATAGGTTGGGGTTAAGATTGCATGAAAGACTATAAAGCAATGTAACAATATATAGTATCTAAGTAGCTTGGAGCTCTCCAAACTTAATTAAAATGAAATATATTCAATTGAAGTTGTCGTTAGTCTGGTTACAAAAATTTATAATGATATTAAATTATTGCGGCTTGCGGTGCCAGACTCAAATGTGATCGTGATCCTTATATGGTTGAAACTATGGCAGTTAGGGAGACGCTCTCTTGGCTGAAGGCTCATCACTTTCATGATATTATTTTCGAGTCCGATTGTCTTAATTTCTGTTTTGCTTTTAATTCTTGTTTTTCAGACCTTTCTTAGGGTGGACTTGTTGTTAAGCAATGTCGTACTATTGCTAGGGACATTGGGAACGTGTCTGTTCGCAATGTCGATAGGTCAGCGAATCATGTTGCTAATGTGCTTGCGCGGGCTACTAGTTCTATGTCCGCCTTAGGTTCGTGGTTCTCTATTCCACTAACCTGTATTTCGTCGATAGTTGATTATTAATGCAATCCTTATTTTCCCCTCAAAAAATATAAATTCCACTTTCATATTCTAGGTTTCGAGCCTCGTTGTAGGCGTAGTTTGTATGGGTATCCCCCTTCCTTTGTAATAATAAAAAAAAAATCTACTTTCATATTATTATAATAATAATTATTATTATTGTTGGTGTTGGTGTTATTATTATTTTTTTTTTTTGAAAGTGGTGTTATTATTATTTAATAGTTAAATAGTTAAATTATACTAATTAAAAACTATTGTAAATTATTACAAGTTTAAAATGGTTATTTAATAACTACAAACTTTAGTTTTTTTTTAATAAAATTAATATTAATATTAATATCAATATTGTTGTTGTTGTTCTAAAAAAAAAAAATTAATAGTAAACATGTTATTAATTGGTTGTTTTCATGTCGTGTAATAGGTTCATGTGAACACAATTTAACATGTTCAAATAGTGTCTTAATTGTTTAACCTATTAAAATTTTGAAACTAAATGGATCATTATGTGTCAACTCGTTAATAATGCAAGAGACAATAAGACTAAACACAAATCTATTAATTTTATATATAGTTTCATGTCATGTCAAATATTGATAGATGTACTACCTTAGAAGCATGAGGATACATTCAGAGTTCAGAGTTGGACGTCGTCCCTCAAAGTTAACACAACAAATCTTCAAAACCAATATACATGGATTAAGTGATTAGAGTTTGCATGTGCTAGCTCAGAGTACACATTAAATTTTCACAGAATATTGTTGTTCTTTTTTTTTGTGTGAGTGTTAGTTGGTCCTAAGGCAGTGAGAAAGTCTAGAAGGAGAGTAGACTTTTTTCTGATTTTAAAAGTTAGCATTAAGTGAGCTTGAATTTCGAAAGATTAGTGAATAAAACTTTTGTAAAGAAGGTTTCAAACAAGAGTGTGTTGCGGAAGGCTTGTACCAAAAACTGCCTAAATCCATTGTAGCGGTTTCTTCTTCAAAACGACTGTTGATGTGTGTGTTAAGCTCAAACAGATAAACGATAGGAAGTACAGAGTAAGGGATAGAGGAATTGAGCCAAAAGTTTATAGTGGTTTGAGAAATTCCCTATTCCATTCTTCTCCACAACACAACATGAATTTCACTAGTATTTATCCCAAAATACAAGTGATCACCACAAAGACAGTAAAAACTTGTTGTCTCTCATGATCCCCAAAACTTCCCTAAGATGCTCCCAATGCCCTTTCAGAGTTGGACTGTATATAAATATGTCATCAAAAAAGATAAAGACAATTTTCCTGATCAATGGCTTGAACACCTGATTCATAAGAGCTCGGAATGTGGCTGGGGCATTTGTCAACCCAAAAGGCATCACCTTGAATTCATACAACCATTGGTGTGTCCTGAATGCTGTCTTATATTCCTCACCCTCTTTCATCCTGACTTAGTGATATCCAGCTCTCAAGTCAAGTTTAGTGAAAACCTTGGCATTGGCTAATTCAGAGAAAAGATCCTCAACCAATGGTAAAGGGAATTTATTTTTAATGGTTATGTCATTCAGTGCTCTATAGTCTATGCAAAACCTGCAAATATTGTCCTTCTTAGACACTAAGAATACTGGAGATGCAAAAGAAGAAGTACTATGAGAAATGATACCTGCTGCCAACATTTCCTCCACCATCTTTTCTATGGTATTTTTTTGCAAGAATGAGTATCTATAAGGCTTGAAATTGACTGATTTGGCTCCTGGGATCAATGGAATCACATGGTCAAGAGGTCTCTTAGGTGGAAGTGTTTTAGGTTCCTCAAACAAATCTTGGAACACTGTTAGGATTGCAGTCAGCTCAGGGATATCTGTATTTGTTTTGTTTTTAATGGGAGTGTTGTGGACCATGCCTTGCAGCAAATAACTTTGCACTCCCTCCTTCTTCCACTTTCTCACCTCTCTTTTTGAAGCTTGCTGCAATGCAACTTTCTTAGTCATTCCCTTTAATAGTACCTTCTTCCCATCCTTGTGAAAGGAAATTCCTGGAGGCCTAGTATAGAGTTGGATTGGGGCATAGGAGTCAATCCAGTCTATACCTAGGACCATGTCACAACCCCAAGCTTAAGCACTCTTAGATCCTTTTCAAACACCTCACTCTGGACCTGCCATTTCAGGCCACAACAGATGGAGTCACATGTCAAACTCTCTCCATTGGCCACTGTAACGTTAAGAGCCTTTGCCTTATCTGGGACAATCCTCAATTGAACCAACTGGTTGCAAGCAACTTGATGGTGTTCATTCCCTCACAACCAATAACAACACTTAAGGTCACATCTACTTCTTCTGCTTCTGGCATAGCTAAGGCTTCTTCCCCCTCAGGTTGTTCCCTACCGATTTCGTCTTCATTTTCCTGGAAGTCGGTCCCCTCAATTATGTTGAAGGTGGGGCTCTTACACTTGTGTCAAGGGTTCCAAGATTCAAAACACTTGAAACACCTATTTTGTTCTCTCAGCTGATCTCTGAATCTATTAACTTCATGTGATCTAGCATTTGTCTAGAAGGTATCTGGGGCTGAGGTTTTTGGTGTGTTTTGGTTGCTTTGTGGTCTGTGTGGTTCAGGGTTTCTGGGATTGTAGGGTTTGGTATATGTTGGGGTTCTCTGGGCAGTATAGGTTGTTTTTTATGGTAGAAAGTGATTTTCTGAGGTTCATGGGGTTTCGATCCCTTCTCAAATTGCCTTGCTAGCCATATTGCATCCTCCAAGTTACCAGGTCTGGCTGTTCTCACAAAACACCTGATCAATTAGGTAGAGGTATATCTGTAGTAGTAGTCCCTTATACTCCTCATACTTATTAGCAAAATCAGTAACATTCCCTGATTGTCTAAAACTTGAAAACTCATCCATCACATCATTGTTGTTCTCATGACTCTCTTACACACAGCTCTAGTAAATATAGCCCACTAGAATCTCATTCTCAGCCCATTTAAGTACCTCTCAAACCACACTCCAACCTTTCTAGATAAATTCATACACAACACATTCATAATCTCATCCTTGGGAATTCTGGCTAACATGAAAAACCTTTCACACCTAGGATGCTCATAGTTAAAAAGAAGATATTCTTGCTTATACCTCATGAGTGGATCACCTCCCTGGTTATGGTGCAAGTTTCTGTCATCTGGGTTGGCTCTCAATTGTTTTCGATATGTAAATTTTATAAGTTTTAGTTTTATGATTTGATAGTTACGTAACATGAATTATTTTATTTGAATTTTTTACATAATATAATTTCTATTCAAATATATACATAATATAACTAATTTTCATAATTAAAAATAATTATATACATAATACTTCATTTGTATTATTTTTAATAATTTATTGTAATTTATATATTGATGCAAAATAATAATTGTAGAGATAAATTAAGATTTATTGATAAAATATAATAATTTTTTAATATGATATAAAAGTGAGAGAGTATTGTAGAGATATAGATAATATGGTAAAGGAATTGCAAATATGATTGAAAGTGAGAGATGATTGTAAAGATAAATTCAGTTTTATAATTCAAATTTTAAAAAAATTTAAAAAATTACACATTTATGAGACCAGTGTCTTGTAAAGCGTTCAAGATCCTTTCCCACACGACCTTAGTTTAATGGTTCATAGTATTTAGGAGCAGCTACACTGTGTGAATTATGTCTTAAGTGTCAAATCCCTTGTGCACACCAGCATTGATTTACATCTTTTCAAATGTTCTATTAGCTGACTAGAGTGGGGTCCTAGAGGTCGGGGATTTAAACTATTGGGAGAAGCGAGCATTCAAGATCCTTATTTCATGCAAAGTCTCCTTATCCATAAAATTTCACAAATCTTGTAGATCCTTAACTATTTCATTCCAACGTAACTAACTCCTTGGCTTATATATATATATATATATATATATGGATATGATCTTGTGTTGTATCCAGGACAACATGATGAAACTCGATCTCATATCAGATCCGATCCCTCCAACTAACTTCTTCAATAATGTGGGTGATGGTTTGTTAGTTGAAATCCTTTGTAGGCTCCCCAGCAGAGTAGCTATCCGCCTGAAATCGGTATGCCGGCGGTGGCGTTCTCTCATCTCCTCCGATTATTTTATCACTTTTTTCCACCACCGTCGCCACGACCCATCCCTTCCGCCACTTGACGATCACGATTCGTTGTCGTATAGCATGCTAATCCAATTTGCATATTCTGATTCCGACTTGTGTTCGTCGCTGGTTCGCTGCCGATACACCACCACGCATACTGCCGCCGGTGCCAAATTGTACGGCCACCACAGGCTTGATTTGAGTTTTCTTCCCTGTCCCCAAACCAAAGTTAAATTCAAGGCTTCGTGTGATGACTTAGTTTTATGCTCTTTTAAGAACACATTTTTCTATGTGTGCAATCTGCTAACCAGGCAATGGGTTGCTCTTCCTCCTGCCCCCCGCTTCATAGACCAAGCCATTGGCCTCCTTTGCGTTCCTGTCCCCAAACCCTGCTCCATTTGCCACCTTCAATGTGACACTAATAAAAAATTTATGGTGGTTCGAATTCATAGATACAATGAGGGTGTGCCCCAATCCACGTTCAAACTTCAATTCTTTTCGTCCGAGGAAGGTAAATGGACAACACGCCTGGTTTCATCCCCACAGCCCTTGACCACTTTCACGCCTTACACCTGCTATGGTTCTACCCGGCGCAAGTCTTACAGCTATCTTGTTGCACACAAGGGGCTTCTGCATTGGCAGATTTGTAGTTCGGTTGTGGTGTTTGATCCCTTCAATACTCCGCAAACGTTTTCCCATGTCATAGATCTGCCACTGGAGTCACGAGATCACTGCCCCAGCACCATTGCAGTATGCCGAGGTCGAGTTTGCGTACAGATATGGTTCTGGTCTAAACTTCGTGGTGTGAAATGTTCATGGGATATATGGGAGCTTGAGGAGTACGTGATGGGAGGGAAATGGAATTTGGTGCACAAGCATATCGATGAAAGGCCTGGGTTTTATTGCGTGGAATATGTCCATCCTGATGGAAATATACTGTATCTGAGGAAGAATCGTAGTGTATGGCTTTGCAACTATGAATGTGAATGTGGAGAGGTGGATGAAGAGTACAAGTTAATTCACCGGACCGATGGTAGACATAATCTATTTTTAAATGGGAATATCCTTCAAATTGTTGACCAGTGGTGGCCAACACCACCACCAGCACTACCGACCACCTCTATATCTACATCACATGATTAAAAGTACGCCCTTTTCTTTTCAATTTATATTTTTTGACACAACATTATTATTATTATTATTGTTATTATTATTATTATATTGCAGCATGCATTCTTTTTACTCCATTGTGTAGACCATCTAAACAATTTTTGTAGAAAAGTAAAGGTCCTTTAGTGGCTCTGTTCTTATAAATAAACTAGGCCCTACCAAAAGTCCCTTGGATCTAGCACTCATGGTGGTTTCTCTGTCCCTCGTTGGGCGGCTGAAGATTGCTTTCCTGCTTTGGTAGTGTAAGTTAATAAGAGTTTGCTTCAGTTTTCATTCTTAGCCAGATATGTTAATTAGCTATGTGAAGATTAATGTTTATGTATTTAATTTAAGGACAAAACATGTGTGTGCATGTTTATTTTCTTTGGAGTTGAGGTTCTCTCTGAGGGCCCTTGTAGTTAGAAACAACAGAGGCCCTCACAGGAGCTTGTAGCAAGAGATCTGCATCTTTAATTCTACTATTATTATAATTCAAGTTCCCCCCTAGAACAAATGCATAGCTAAGTCTTGGTATCAACATTTTGACTCTGGTTCTAACTATTTCTTGCACAGGTTGGAGTGCATTTGTCAATAAGAAGAAGCTGGTTTCTGGAGATGCTGTGCTTTTCCTAAGGTGTGAATTCAATATACGTGTTTTACTTTCTTATATCTCATCATTTATGACATGAGTGGTGATGGGGAACTTAGGCTTGGGGTTAGAAGAGCAGATCAAGCTAAAAGTGGTACTCCCAACACATGAACATCAATGGTATTGCGGATGTTGTCAATGCAATATCTACTAAGGGTGGTATTAATGCCATTAGAAATTACTTTCCATGGGCTAAATGCTGTTCCAAAATGATTGTTATAGCTGATTCGAGGGATATTTCAAAATTGTGATCATGGCCCTGTTTGGTAAAATGACGGTTAGGTGATTGTGTTAATTAGAGGGTATAAATAGTTGATAATATTAACTTATGGTAAAAAAGTGTGTTTGGTAAATTAGCTGTTAACAGATAGTCGTTTGGTATAATTTCTTTTTTCAAAAAGCTAATTGAAAAAGTTACTTGGAGTTGCCTTTTGGAGTTGCAAAAAGCTAATTAACTAAATTTTTATATTGATATTTTAACTAAATCAAACAATTAATAGTGGTCAAATAAGCCAAAATTGACCTATAGGCTAATTTTTTACCAAACATGGCCCTTTGCCCTCATTTCATGTGTCCTACTGAATCTGATTTTTTGTTCATTTACAGGCCTAGTTCATCAGAATTTATTGTGCCTTACCGCAAATTCTCAAGAAGCCTCGTACATTCTTTTTCAGCTGGAATGAATTTTAAACAGAAGATGCTGCAGAGAGGTTGGTTCATGTTTCATTGTTAGTTTCATCTAATAAGTATAAAGCCAACATATAGGGATGTCAATTTAGTCCTGAACTAATGAGCTGGCCTAATAAGCCATAAAAATTGCAGGGTTAAAATCCAAAAATATCAATTCAATAAAAATGTAAGCTCATTAGGTTGGCCCTATCGGTTATTGGATTGAGTTGGGCCAACTCATGGATTGTTGAGCTGGCCCGTGTAATATTCAATTATTATTGGATGGACCATAGTCCATACAACTTGTGTGGACCCTGAATATATAGTACATTTTTAATATACTAAATGTATATTATTTGTGTATTGAAAGTATATTATTTGATAATATATATAAAATAATGTACTTTTATACACTACATACACAGTGTACACACTATATATATATATATATATATATATATATATATATATATATATATATATATATATATATATATATATATACTACACACACTATACACACACACTATGTATATATATAGTTATGAACCTACCCTATTTGTAATAAAAATTTTGTTTAGTGATTTAGTCCGTTGGATTAGCTCAACAACCCGTTGTTTAGACCTAACTCAAAAAGAAAAAAATAAAAAACCATTTAGCCCAAGCCAACAAGTCCACCAACTCTGTAGGGCTAGTCCAAAACCCAGCGGACTGGCCCATTTGACATCCCTACCAACATATATTTGTCAAGTGCACTGGGCTCATACTTGGGGTTAGTGATGTAGATCATGTTCAAAAAGGAGGAGTATATTGGTATGTACTTTTGTATAGTACAAATTTTAATTCTAATGCCATACATAGCTTGACCCTAGAAATATTCCATGGATGTTTGTGGGGTTGAGTGGATGAGGAACTAAGCAGGGATATAGTCATATAGGGCAGGGAATGCAAATGATTGAATATTTGTCCACTCTTAAAATATGATTTTATCTCTATATTCATTTTTATGTCTTTAATCTGTTATTGAATTATCTTCACAAATAAATTGCAAACAAGAAAATGAACTTAGTACAAATGTTCCGTATGACCAATGTGCTCTCTCTGAGTTCTTAGATGTTTGAACTTTTATATTCCGTCTATACGGTTCAAGTTGTTGCTGCACATATGTTAGACTATTTTATTTGAGAGTACTTTTTATGAGATATAAAGAAGAAACATTGAAAATGAATGATGATTTGAGGCTCCTCATCATATTGGCAAGTTTTAGATCTACACTTGAATTACTAGTCTTGAGCTAAAAACTTTACATGAAAAGACGAAAACAGTTGTACTATGAAAAGACGAAAACTACGGCTAAGATACACCTGGAGAATTACTAGTCTTGAGCTGAAAATTTTACATGAAAAGACGAAAACAGTTGTGCTATGAAAAGACGAAAACTACGCTAAGGTAACATCTATTGATATTATTCTTTTTTCTTCTTTGTTCTCCTCAATTTGCTGTATCAATGTCTTCTCCAGTAATTACTTCCACTTCCGTCTCCGTCTACGTGTTCGAAACAAATCTGTTCAAAACAAATCTATAACCTTCAAAATAGTCATCCAAGTAATAACCAATGTCTTCAAATCCATCAAACATTGTGTCGGACTCCTTCTACATCAGCCATGACAGCAACACAACCTCTCATTATATCAAAAAAATTCTGCCATATACCATATATCTAAAAATTGGTAGCTCTGATATATTGATAGCTCTGATACTAGAATATGTGGGTTAATTTAGATCAATTATAATTAATTCAAATTGTTATAAACAACATACAAGAAATCCTTTTTCCCTATTATATTATTTTCAAAGTAATAATCTAAATACTCACCCGTGTTAATAAATCTAGCATTATTATGTCGTACCCTTTCTGTTAGAAATAAATTGTAAAGTTTTGATGAGTCAAATGTATTTTAAAAATTTAGTAGTCTCCAATTTTATTTTGTTTGAGTCAGTTTCTGGTCCACAAGAGTGTGGTGCACCCTTGCCATGAATCCAACGTAAATGTCCTGATACTCATAGTTTACTTGAAGAGAAGTAAGCGGGATTACAGGTTAAGTTGGAGGAGTTGGAAGAATATTTATTTTAGATATGCTACAAGTTTTGACAGGCTGAAGCAATACACTGAATCCACTACTGCAATGCACGAAGAAAGAAGAAATTGACAAAGATGAATTTGTGGACATCAGTATTTCTACCATGGAACGCGAAGGAGAGCTGATTCATGAAGATGAATTTGTGGAGATCAGTATTTTTACCATGGAAATTGAAGGAGGCTGATTCACGAATAAACTGTTTTTATACTCAAATAAGAATCAGCAGGCAAATTACTATTTGATCAACTTGATTTATCAGATCAATAATGCAACAAAGTCAAGTCTAAACGCGAAGAAATTATTCAAGATTTGGAGGCTACATCTTTCAAGAAACCTTTTGTCAGAACTACAGACGAGCAACGGTTGGATCTTAAAAAACTATGTCCAGCTCTTCAACCACTCCTTAATCTTTCTTGTTTTGCTTCCTCCTTTCAGGCCTACTTAATTAAGCACAACAACAATAAATGTTCAATGTGTCAATGTCTTCACATTTAAAATTGGCATATACTTACAAATTAAATGAGATATATTTACTAATTTATAGTAACATTTGTCTTACAAATCTCTTGTGTGCATATGTGGAAAAATAATTTTAAAATGAGCCCAAATTTAAAAATCGACGGCTCTAATACAAATCTAAAAATTGGTAGCTCTGATATATTGATAGCTCTGATACTAGAATATATGTGTTAATTTAAATCAATTATAATTAATTTAAATTTTTATAAACATACAATAAAGCCTTTTTTCCTATTATATTATTTTCAAAGTAATAATTCAAATACTCATCAGTGTCAATAGATCCAGCATTATTATGTCGTACCCTTTCTATGCCAATCAAAAATGATTTTTCCAACATGTTTAAGCTAGCATCTACCATTCTTGGATTAGGATGAATCTGATGGGGATATAATCTCATCATCTTCAATAATCATTACAATTCTACTTAGATTCCCCCAGAAACCACTCCAACTAGTGTCGAGAGGATCTAAATCTATCTCTCACCCCACTCCAAGATCAAAGATGTAGTGCACAGTGTGATCTGGCCATGGCCATAATATCTATGCATATCTGTTTGGTTCTTCCCATCACTCAACCCATGGCAATATCATGCGCATCTCCTCAAACAAAAGGACATCAAATACCCCAAACAAAAGTAGATTGTTCCATGGAACCAATTCCACATGAGCAGTGATTTTGAAGATGGTTCTGAGCAACTCTCTAATGGACACCGTTTTGGGTGCAAGTGAATTGGGATCGTTCTGCACTTCTGCTTAACAAGGTTGAAGATGGCCACGGCCTGGGAGCGCTGCTCATTGGCGGAGGACATGAGGTGGGAGGTTAGGATTTCGAATGGCTCCGAGTCTCAACCCATAATTGCATCCTGGTTGAACTGAGCCAACTCGCCCGCCATGTGAGAGAGAAATAGAGAGCTGTAAATGTTGGAAAAATGCATTAAAGAGAGAAGTAATTTGTTATGGCCTCCTTTGCGCAGTAGAAGAACAGCAGAAAATAAGAAGTAGGGGTAGAGTTTAGAAGAAGAAGGAGGAGGAGGTGAAGGAAATAGAGAATTTTATTGTCAAAACTCAGCATAAAAACTCATCCGCCACTTCTAGCTTGTTAGTATAGTGTTTTGCAAATTATGCTGTGCAACCGTGTGCACCATGTATGGTGCAACCGTGTGCACCATGTATGGTGCACACGATTGCAAAAACGACGTCGTTTTGACTAAAAACGTGCGTCCCACTTTAAAAAAAAAAAATCAGGTTCGATTCCCGGCAATAACATTTTTTTGTGCATAATTTGAATTATATATCCACAAATTCATAACTATATATCCAAAAATTCATAACTATATATTCACAAATTCATAACTATATATCCACAGTGAATGAATAACACAAAACCCACAATGAATGAACTAAATATCCACAATGAATGAACTAAATATCCATAAATTCATAACTATATATCCACAAATTCATAACTATATATCCACAAATTTATAACTATATATCCACAATAATTCATAACTATATATCCACAATAATGCTGTTGAGGAGAATTGAAACTGGTTTTTTTTTAAATGGGACGTGCGTTTTTAGTCAAAACGACGTCGTTTTGCAACCGTGTGCACCATGCATGGTGCACACGATTGCACAACATAACTATTGATAGTGTTTAGGAGTGGAAATATGTCGAGCCTGTATGTAGGCTTTTTGTTAGATTCAAGCCTGAGCATACAATTAGTCTGGCCTGGCCTGAAGCCTTTTTAAAAGCCTATTTAATATGTAGATCATTAAAAGGCTTCAAAGTAAGTACTTCTGCTTTGAGGCTATTTAAAACCTATATATTAAGGCCCTATTGGTAAAATGGTTGTTAGCTGATTGTGTTAATTAGAGGGTATAAATAGTTGATAACATTAGCTGATTGTAGAAAAGTGTTTGGTAAATTAGCTGTTAGTTGATAGCTGTTTGGTATACTTTCTTTTCTTAAAAAGCTAATTGAAAAAGTTGCTTGGAGTAGCTTTTTGAATTTTAGCCTTTTGGAGTTGCAAAAAGCTAATTAACCAAACATTTATATTGATATTTTAGCTAAATCAAACAATTAATAGTGATCAAATAAGCCAAAATTGGCCTATAGGCCAATTTTTTACCAACCAGGCCTAAGTCTTTTTAAAAACTTCAATAAGTATTTCTAAATAATTTAAGAAATATACCAAGCTAATACAAAATTAATATATTACTACATAAGTATATCGGCACAATGCAAACACAATAGTATTAAAACATATATAAAATAAAATAAAACAAGTCACAACTTCAACATGCTTGTTAACTTGTTTAGGAATTAATTCAATTGTATTATTGATTGTCATCATATATAATCTCATAAATAGTAAACAATCAACTCACATAATTAAGTTGTGACACTTCATTAAATATTTAACAGTAAGAACAATTAAACAATAAGAACATTTATTTTCAAAAAAAAAAAACAATAAGAACATTTGTAATAGGATTAACAACAATGTTTATAGTTGAATCAGAATTTAGAATGCGATTTTGGAGGTTGAGTGTTAGGGTTTGATAAATAGGCCTGGCCTGTTTAGTTTAATAGGCTTCAAAATGGGCCCAAGCCTAGCCTTTTTACTAAACAAGTCAGGCCTATGTAGGCCTTAAATAGGTCGGGCCTTAGGCCCCTACAAAGGGGTCTGGCTTATTCCCACCGGCAAATTATATCGTGCACCGCGGTGCATAATCGATTATGCACCGCGCATCAAAACGACGTCGTTTTGTTTAATGAAAAGAAACGGCATCCGTTTTCTGTCGTTCCGCACTCTTCCGCAAAAAAAAAGTAACCCTGTTATTCAGTTTCATTTTGTATACACTGCAGTTTCAGTTCAACAAAACTACAGTTTCATTCGATATTTATAGACTCAAATATGTAAAAATGTTATTTAATTTTATTTTATATACACTATAGTTTTATTAAAACACAACTACATGATCATTTTGATATAATTACAGCTTCATTGTACAATATACACTAAAATATGTGAAATGTTATTCAGTTTCATTTTATATACACTGCAGTTTCATTTCACCACAACTACAGTATCATTTTGATATAACTGCAGTTTCATTTGATAATATAAAAATAATACGTGAGGCAGTGTCGGTTTAGATATACTGTAGTGTCAGTTGGTAATTAACATACAAAAAATACACGCTCCGTTAAAACTAACGGCGCACCGTTTCTTTACTTAAAAGTAAAGAAACGGCACCGTTTTAACCGTGGTATCCCATGCACCACGGTCCATGATATAACGACCGATTCCCACCCCTAATAGTGTTTACGGTGCATCCAAAAATATCTCACCAATTCCATAACTGACTCAACAAACTGAAAACAAAATATTTAATTCTAATTTCTGAAAATCAGTAAACCATGTCTCTGATAGTCAGTCCTCTTCAATCGCCAATCGTTTTGATCGAAACAACGTTGTCAACGCTCAACCGTTATCAACTGATGCATCCCCTACGAAGCCGTTTTGTGACTGGTTCTCCATTCCACAATCAGCTGATCCCTCTCCAAGTTCCTTCTTCCTCCTTTGCACAGCACCTTCCAGCTTCTTTTTCCTCCTTTTACCATCGATGGTTGTTGCATAATTCTTGAACCAACAACCAAGATAATAGCCCTGAGAATTTAAATGTTATATATATATATATATATATATATATATATATATAGGTGTAGATCATTACTTTAGAAATTTTTCACATAACACAGAATATAATAATAATAATAATAACAACAACATTTATTTAAATATAGATTATATTGTCACTTAACATCAAATAAAAAATTTTGTCAATTATTTTGTCACCAAGTTTTTTCATAATTAACTTATATTGTCACCTTGTGCTCATATAGCGTGTAGTGACATCTCCTATATGGGAGGTCATGAGATTGAACCTAAGTGGAGACGTTGTTGACTCTTTGTGTTTCAAAAGGTTGAGAAAGTATGTTTGACCAGATACTACAATGTAATAGAGTCAGTAGCATTCAAAAAAAAAAAAAACTTATATTCATTTTACTGATTAACTGAATATTTCAAAACTTAAGAGATGTTGACAAAAATCAAGACGAATTAAATAATCAATATTAATTTTTTTCAATTTCAAAACTAATCACTTAAACTCGCAAATGTACATCTTAAAAATGTAGATAAATAATTAAAACACACAATAAATCACTAATTAATTAATAAACATATATAACTAATAAAACCAAAGCATACATCTCAAATTTGGAGATTTTTTAAAATTAAAATGTATACTTGATGCCATTCATTATTAAAATCTTGATAAAAGAAATAAGATAATAAAGAAAAATGGTCACTTTAATTATTTGATTTATTTCTTTTTATTAAATGAATTTGAATTTTGATATATATTTTGAGTTCGTTTAATATAAACATAATAGATTGTTTTTATAAATAAAAAAAAATAGAGGGGGACCAAAAGTGTATTTTATCATTACTATATCTACAATCTACAAATCTAATAAGAGCCAATAATG